GGGGGAGTGAGAGACTACAGGTTTCAGGCCAGATTTTACAGCAAGAAACCATCTTTGATTTAAGGAAGTCATCAGAGTTAGTTCACTCCCGAGAGCTAATCAAGTTGCTTAAATTACTCCCCGACTTCCGAGAGCAAATTAAGTTTCTCATCCGATTCCCGAGAGTGGATTAAGCCTGTCAACCGCAACATTCTAATAATAGCTGCGGTTTTATGTGAGTCACAACCTATGCGGAAAGGCATCATGTGATCTGCGTGAGATTTAGTTGCAGAGAAGTTGAAATAGAAAAGCATCGAAGTGTTAAAGTGTTCTGCATAAGGTTTCTCATACTGACCATATGAGTTTTTACCCTGGCCAGCTCAAGCGGCTGAACACTAGCACAAATACCTTAGGTATAAAACCAAAGGTGAGGTCAGAAATAAATACATACATTTGCACTTTATTTAAAGTCTACTACATTGCACTCTAACACCACCAGTCAATGCACCTGGTACAACTGTGTCGTGGGAAACACGACTGACACATCTAGAAGAGTCAATTCGACCACAACTATATGCAAATGTTGCACAATATCAAGAAAAGATGCGCGCGGCATATGTCCGAAAATACCAAAAGAAGTACGTACACTCCCAGGAAGGGGACATTGTAATGGTTCGTTACCCAGGTGAAATGAATGAAATGACAGCACCATACGGAGGACCATACAAGACAGCACGCAAGGAGGGCCATGAGTATTTTGTCTGTATCCTTGATAAGACTAAAGACCTGGAATATCCTAACTCGGCCAGTGATGAATTAATCGGACTAGTCAAGAAGACCATCGCGGGCGTGGAATTCACCCCAACAGTCAAGTACAACCATCAGAAGAGACTCAGTTCTCCTCGATACTTGACCACAAACTATCCACACAAGGTGATGGAGCCCAGGACTACCTACTACAATGGACAGATGGGGAGCGTACCTGAACGCATGAATCAGACATCGCAGATGCTGATATTCTTACACTATACCGACAGCGTACCACGAGTACTGATGAGCGATCATCGAGCAACTGGAAGCGTACGAGGCGGGGAACTCAAACCAAGTTTCCTGACACCGAAGGACACCCTTACTTTTCTCACCTTGAAGAATGCTCCGCCCACAAACCAGAGGAATAAGGACCAAATACTCGGTTGTAGAGCCCCCGTTGATATACATTTTCCCAAGCCAAGTTGAGATCAACCGAGAGCACAGGTCAATACTGACTCCGATGAGCGTGGTCGAGGACTCCCGTCATAGCACAGTATGAATAGATAATGGTGGCAGGTTTTTCATCTTAACTCACTAAGGGACAAGTTTTTCCCTGTACAAAAACACAAACCTCTAGATAATATAGTATTGCAAAATGCCACTTTCCACACCTTCACAGGCCCTGAAGTACAAAGTTGGAGGACTGCAGCATCCATGGATCAGATTATCAAAATAGCCAATCTAAAACCCAAAACCCAGGATTATCAAATTCTGAGTTTTATGTTTTAGGTAAAGGGCCACGAGGCGATATAATGGGCGTACTTGAAAGAGCGCGGTGGTCCCGATGCTGTTGGCGACTGATTGGGCGTGGGCTTTGTAGGATTCGGTCTATTAAGGCGATGTTAACGCCTTAGAGTAAATAAACGCGTAGGTAAATTCTAAGTATCGTGTAAATATCAAAGTAAAT